TTTTTATTTACCAATTTATGAAAACACATTTAGTAGACCCCAATGTATGTTACCTTATGGAATTCAAGCCAAGAGTACTTGAATTTATACGTAGTTGAAGTTTTAGTATTTTGTGTTTTTTTAATTATTATTTTTAGTTGTTGATAGACCTTTATTTTATTTATTTACTGAACCCAGTGCTTCACACATGCCAGGCAAGTGCGCTACTGCTGAGCCACAGACCTGTCCCCAAGTTTTAGTATTTTGACTTTGCCAATTAATTAGACACCTTCTGTAACAAACACATTTATAAGTGTTTATCCCATTTATGTTAAGTCTAATTTACCCATTTTTGTTTATTTTGGGGGGTACCAGGGATTGAACCTAGGGGGTGTTGAACCACTAAGCCATATCTCTGGCCCTTTTAAAATTTTGAGACAGATCCTCACTAAGCTGCTGAGGCTGGCCTTGAACTTGTGATCCTCCTGCCTCAGCCTCTCGAGCTGCTGGGATTACAGGCATTGCCACTGTGCCTGGCTTAATTTACCCATTTTGAACTTTAGTTACTCATGAAAGCCAACTAAGACAAGTCTAATTAACACTTTAAATCAGTTATTCTCGCCAGAGAAAAATCTTTAGAAGCAATAGATATTGCAGTTTAAACATTTTTTGTGCTGCTTAGAAGAAACTAACTTTATTTTATTTTATTTCATTTATTCTAATTTGTTATATGACAGCAGAATGCAATTCAATTCATATTACACAAATAGAGCACATTTGTTCACGTCTCTGGTTGTACATAGAATCACACCATTAGTAGGGGATTAGCTTCATAGAAACCAACACTCTGATTGGTTAGCCAACCAGAAAAAACGTGTGGGTTAGTAATTTCAAAGGCATATTTACTCTTACCAATTTAGATTGACCCTTTTTGTTAAAGTTTTATTTAAGTCATGTAAACTGAAAGGCATTTGGATCCATTAATTAAATTTATGAGTACTCATTTATCTATCTGTAAGCCAATTTTGGTACCACGTACATGATATAGACCCAGCACATACATAGACATCCATACAATACACAGATTAAAATAGAGGCTGTCACAGATTTTTACAGTGTAACCCAGACGTGAAAAGGGCCTGTGTGGTTTGGAACATTAGGAATAATCTGTCAGCCACGGTGGATGTTGAAATCAAAGGGCCAGATGGCCACACGTCCTCCATGGGAGCAGATTGACTCCCACCATCACCAGTTTATTTTCCCTACTTAGACTCTTCAAAGGAAAACAAAGAAGACTTGTATATATGGGATCTTTCCACTATCCTTCCCTGACCCTGGGCCTAGAATTTTTATTCCCCATTTTTTGTAGGTTCCTGTAACTGAGATTCCCCCTATGTACTCATACCCTCTTATTATAGGTTTCTTGTACACCCCAGGGCCCCTCTGTGCTCAATCCCCCTTACTGGGGATTTTTTGCACATACCCCATCCCACTCCCCTGGGTGTGGTCTCAAGATTCTGAAAAGGGGCTTTCAGTCATACTCACACAATCTCTGGGAAGTCCTGACCACTGAGGAAGTCTTTGTCTGCCTTCTGATCATCATGTGAGCTACTTCCCTCTGTACACTTCTCTCTCTCTCTCTCTCTCTCTCTCTCTCTCTATATATATATATATATATATATATATACACACACACACACACACCCACACACATATTTATTTTAACTGTAAATGGACACAGTACCTTTGTCTTATTTATTTGTTTTTATGTGGTGCTGAGGATCAAACCCAGTGCCTCACACATACTAGACAAGTGCTCCACTATTGAGCTACAACCCCAGCCCTCTGCCACACTCTTTCACCATGATGTTCTGCATCACCTCAAGCCCTGAAGAATGAAGCCTGCTGTCTATGGACTGAGACCTCTGAAACCATGAATACCCAAATAAAATTTTCCTCCTCTAATATTGTTCTTGTTGGGTCTTTTAGTAGCAGCAGCAAAAAAAGCTGAGTATTCCAGAGGTGAGTGTGATCTCTTCAAGTGGTGTTGTAAAGGATATTGATTTCATGAACCCCATGATCTCCTCAGACATAAAAAATAGCTGCAGTTAGAGGCTGGGGGTGCAGCTCAGTAGTAGATCACATGCTTAATATATGCACAGCCTGGCTTCCATGCCCAGCACTATAAAAAATAAGAAGGTGGGAAAACAGACCATGCTCACAGACATCTTGTTCAGTGACCTTTAATTTAAATTTTTTTCTGCTTTTCACATTTTTATCAACAAATTCTAGAAAAGCCTGTTATTTTTCTTTTTATTCATGTGTTATAATTAAACTTAATAGTGGGATTCGTTGAAGCCCTTTCTTTTAAATCTCAAATATACGAGTACGAATCCATTCTTTCACCAAAATTCCACAACTTTTAATTCTCAAATGTAATCTCAGGCTTCAGAGCCTCTTACACAAAGTGTGGGCAGGGACCCACAACATGCAGTCCCTAAGTTTTAGAAAACTGTCTGCTCAGCCCCAGACCTCCTGATTCAGAGACTGTATTTTCATCACAATGTCTGGGGATTCATGTTCAACTTGCAGTTGGTTACTTGTGATCCATCCACAGAATTTTCCAGAACAGGCTTTGGGGCCACTGAGCAAATATCCGAGTCTTAAATCCATTTTGGGAAAGGTAAGGAAGCAGTTTGGGCACTGGCAGGAAATACTTGAACAATACTTGGTTGTGCAATCTTTTGATAGTTTTGTCTCGGTGCACCCTGAAAATTTTCATGCCCTTGTGAAATGCAGGAAGCTGCTGTATTTTTCCCTCTCTTCCCAAGAACAAATCCTAATAAAAAATAAACAGGGAATATTACTTTTAATTAGTAAGCACTCACTGGGCCAGTACTTTGTGCTCAGCCTGTACTTTGCACTCAGCCATGTATTTTGCGCTCGGCGGCGTTGTATTTTGCACACAGCTTTGTATTTTGCACTCGGCCTTATACTTTGCAAATAGCCATATACATTGCACCCGGCCCTGTACTTTGCACCCGGCCCTGTGCTGGCAATTTGAATATAGAAATTAGAGTGACTGGTGGCTATGACGCTACATCTTCCATCCAATGAGGGAGTGACATGTGCAATAGTAGACGCAATGGTTGCTGGGTCTGATGCGTCTCGTGGCAGGCCACGCATTTTCTTTTGAGCCAATACTACAACTGGACCTGGACCTATTGCACAATGTAAGTGGTCCTCTGTTCATTTTGAAGTTCCTATCCACCCCAGGTACTGAATGTAAAGGAATGGGGTAGTAAAAGTGAGGATCCTGCTTTGGGGGGATGGGGAGTGGTGAGGGTGACATTGTTAGGGCTCAGCTGCCAGAGGGCCGTGTGCAGCTGGGGGGGGGGAGGGCGGCTGTCATCCTATATATGTTCTTGCCGCCACACCCTCGTGCTCCATTCTGTTTGGACGCGGAAGCGGTGGCAGGCGCGTGGTGGTTACATCTAGAGGAACTCTTGGCCTGCAGGTATGGTGCTGGGCCCAGGGCACAGACAGCAACCCAAATCACAGTGGACTGTCCCCAGTAACCCTTAGTGTTTTCCACAGCATCCCAGGTGTCAGTGGTAAGAAGGTTTTTCTGGAAGTGGAATCCCACTATACCAGACCCGGAACCCGAAGGGCCTTCTAAAATTTCTAGCAGTGCAACAAGCGTGGAAAATACAGGGGGACCTATTGCACTTAGCCCCAACCCCTCCTAGCCTCTGCCCAGTACCAGTGACTAGATGTGTTCCTAATCTGGAATGGGGGATATGTGAGGTAGTGGGGGATGTATTTGAAACAGTATGGGCCATATGGGTGTTTTTTATGTTTTTTGAGATGGGATCTCGCTCTGTTGCCACCTGGGCTCCAGCACTCCTCCTGCCTCAGCCTCTGCAGTAGGTGGGATTACCAGTGTTCTCCACTGTGACTAGCTTTATACTGGGTTTCAGATAATGGGCAGGAGAGGAGCTCAGAAAAGTGGAGGTGGAGATAGAACTTGAGCATATGTAGAGATGAGGCTTCAAAATCGGTCGAACTTCGGAAGGGGTGGGACTTCGAAGGGGATGGGGGTTCAAAGTGGTAGCGCTTTAGAAGGGTGGGGCTTCGCAAGGGGCGGGACTTCAAATGGGTGGGGCTTTAGAAGGGCGGGACATTGGAGGGGGCGGGGCTTCAGTACCGGTGAGGTTTCAGAATGGGCGGGATTTACAAAGGGATGGGGATTTGGGCGGGGCTCATGAATGGGTGGGGTTTCTGGAGGGGCGGGTTTTTTAAGGGGCGGGGCTTGATGGGTGGCTTTTGCAGTGAGGATAGGGAAGCAGACCTGCACAAGGATCCCTTCAGCCATGTGATAAGGATCCTTTTGGCCCTAAGGGAAGCCTCGAGTTGAGCAGCTTCTCATATATCACTGCACAAGGGTCCTTGTGGACATTTGTACAGCTCACACTGTGCAGGGGCGTGTGGGACAGAAACACAGTAAAAATACCTATACCTTGCCTTGACAGATCCAGTGGAGCAGGATGTACTACCCATGGGCTAGGAACTGTCTGGACAGAGAAGGCTGATTGTCTAGTGCCAACCAAATCACAACACCTGCACTCCAGTGGGGCCCTGGGCAGCAGGGTGAGCAGCTGTGAGGTGGGGTATGTTGGGAAGGGCCTCTGTAACCTCTGTAACCCTGGCAAACAGTAGAAGGGGAGGGTCTGCCTGCCAGGGTACACAGACTCTGAAGCATAGGGCCTCACCTAAGGTGAGAGTTGTCTTTCCTGTAGTGTGGCAGTGGAGACACTTTCTGTGTTTCTTTTCTGCCTCTGATTCCAGCTTCCACACAAATTGAAACTATAAGCTCTTGTTTTTTTCAGTGCTCACTCCTCACTCACTGCTCACCTCATACCCCACCTCCCTGTCCCTCTTTCACTCTCTGTTGCTAAGAGGCTTCATTGGCTGGAGGCAAATGACATCACCTGTTGCTCCTCAAGGGCCTTAACCTTACCACATGACACTCTGCTATGATAGAAACCCATGGTCCACGCTGTTCTGGGTATCTATGGTAACACTGCAGCTTGTTACACATTCTCCACACCCACCACACTCATTACACTGCACAGAGCTCCGGCCATCTTTCTCATATGTCAGGCATTTCCTGAGAAACGGGGAGCTCTGCATCTCCTGCTTCCACTCTTCCCCTTACTGAGGAAGGTGCTCTTGGTGACTGGGACCGGCACAATTCCAAGTAGGCAGCAGGGCATTTCCTATCCTCTGCTGCCAGGAGGGCTGCTGCAGTGCCTCCAGGCACCAGGCCCTAACTCCTGACATTGGCCTTTTCACCACAGGCACCTGAGTCACACGCAGCAGAGTCTTCAGACTTCCAAAGAGGAACTCACAGCAGGAAGAGGTCAGCAGGAAAGGGTGAGGTAGGTAGCTTTGTGTGGGAGACCCTGTACAAAATGATTGCAGGAGTCCTGGGAAGCACAGAGTAAATATCTGAGGAGAAATGGGGACAGAGAAGGGACTCTTGGTGGGGGTGGGAGGCAAGCATTAACAATGTTCTTACCTCATTTGCATTACAGGCTGTGGAAACTTGAGACACTTCTGCCATCCAACTTAGTATTGGCTCAGATTCTTTGAGCACTGATAAAATTCTGAGATTACTGCCCTTGTGTTAGATCAGTGTATAGAGAGAGGGAACAATGGCTGTGACACTGTTAGAAGATTGGTGCAAGGGTATGGACCTGGATCCCAGGAAAGCCCTGCTAATTGTGGGCATCCCTATGGAGTGTACTGAGGCTGAAATTAAGGAGACCTTGAAGGCAGGCTTACATCCCCTGTGTACATACAGGATGCTAGGCAGAATATTCAGGAGGGAAGATAATGCTAAGGCAGTCTTCATTGAATTGGCTGACACTGTCAACTATGCTGCTATACCCAGTCAGATACCAGGAAAAGGGGGTGCCTGGGAAGTAGTGGTAAAACCTCGGAACCCAGATGATGAATTTATCAATAGGCTGACTTACTTCCTGAAAGATGAAGGCCGGAGAATGGTAGATGTGGCCAAAACTCTGGGGTATAGCACCCTTCCCATTGAGGGCATAGAGCCAGAGGACTTGGACCAAGTCAAACCACCAGTTTTGCAGCCTCTGAGGGAAAGCGTGTGGTACCGAAAGCTGAAAGTGTTTTCAGGAGATGCTCTCCCAGGCTCAGGGGAAGAGAGTTTTGAAGCCTGGCTAGAGCAGGTCACTGAGATGATGCAGATGTGGCAGGTGTCAGAGATAGAGAAGAGGTGTCGCCTGCTAGAGAGCTTGCATGGTCCCGCACTGTCAATCATGCGGGTGCTCCTGGCCAATAATGACTCCATGACTGTGGAGCAGTGCCTGGATGCCCTAAAGCAGATCTTTGGGAATAAAGAGGACTGTAGAACCTCACAGTTCAGGTTTCTTCAGACTTCCCAGAAGTCTGCAGAGAAGATCTCTGCTTTTTTGCTGCGCTTAGAGCCCCTGCTGCAAAAAGCTGTGCAGCAAAGCCCATTGTCAGTGCAAAGCACAGACATGATTCGCCTCAAACATATTCTAGCTCGGGCCTCCATGACCGCTGCCCTCCGGGGCAAACTTGAGCTCTTAGATCAGCGAGGGTGCCCACCCACTTTTCTGGAATTAATGAAGCTCATTTGAGATGAAGAGGAGTGGGAGACCACCATGGCAGTGATGAAAGAGAAACAGAGGCAAGTAGGAAGGGGCCACAGGGCCTCTGGCAGACAGGTAGTAGCAGAAGTAGGATATTCTGCAGTTCAGGTCACCATGCAGGCAGGGTGTTTCAGTGAAAACAGCACCCAGACTGCACAGGAAGGTGTGTCCCCATCACTGAAGCGCAGGCGACTGTCATGTGAACTCTGTACTATGGGAAAAGGCCATGGCCAGGCAGCATGTCCCAAAGCTGAGGACCAATCTCCACCCATGCTGAGGCCTAAAGTTGCCGAAGAAGGGTCGGGAAACGAGGAAGGGGCTGGGGGCATGAGCCACCCCAGGCCCTAGGAAGCACAGGCTCAGGAGATCCAGGCACTCCTTTCCCTGGCAAGCAGCAGACAGATCTTAAAAAGGGGAAGGAACAGCCCAGACAAAGATCAGGAGACCCAAGTGAGGTAGGACATAGCCAGCAGGCCCAGGTCAAGCCTCCTCTCCCTCTCCCAGTGGGAAGGGACTCTATCGAACAGGACAAAAGCACATGCATCTCAGGGAAAGCTCAGTGCAGAGCCCGCAGGAAGTGTCAGAGACCAAAGCAGGGAGCTGCCACACCCTGCACATGGGAATCTCAAGCCTCACACAGAGACTCCAGCGATATAGAGTATGAAGACGGTGAGACGGTGGGCTCTGACATGCGTGTCTGCAATGTCATCTGGCCAACTCCAAGTTCCCACACTACAGACTCAGAGCTAACGATGCCAACCAGACACCAGGATACATGGAGCATGGAGGAGCCTGCCCTGGGGCCATCCTTGTCAGAAGGAGTCAATACCTCTGAGGAAGAGAGAGAGGTAATGCTCCGCAGGGGAGGTCGCAGGGTCCAACCTGTCTTCAGGATCATCTACACTGCTCTAGGGGAGCCCCAGGAAGGCAGTACCCTTGAGCCCTTCCGCCCATAAAGGCCGGGTCTCCAGACCCCAAAGCCCTGGGAGCCCAGCACCATCCCAGAGGCAGTTTCCTTTCCTGCAGCCTGACAGGGCTGTATGGGCAAGGACACCAAAGACTAAGAAGACCCCCAGGTGGGGGCACTGGCACCCACTAGGTCAGTGCACCCAGAGCTGGCTTAGGAGTGAGTGGATATAGAAGGCAGCTTTTGCTCCAAACAGGAGGAGGTAGAAAAGGAGTGGGAGGAGGATGAGGGAGGACTTGGAGGGGGGCAGTTTGTTCTGTTTTGTCTGTGCAGGACCACTGGAGAAGTGGAGAGAGCAAGCAGGGAGAACTGGGGCCTGGCTTGGCAACTCACAATTCAAGAGCTGCCAACCCAGGGTCAGCCCCAAACCCTGCCAGCCTAGGGTGGCCAGCCTTGAAGCACTACTGATCGGCCATCCATAGCCTGGATGAGGGCACCTGAATACACCTGCCACCTGCACTGGACTGGGAGACGTCGGGGAAGAGAGTCCATCTCAAGGGTGCCAGCTGCCTGGCTCTCCCAGCAGGCAAAACCCCAACCCGATTCACGGTCCCCGGGACAGGGTGCGACCGTCCCTGTCCCTGGAAGCCCGCCTTATCTGTAAGCCCCATAGTGACCCACCTCAAGCAAATGCCCACCCCCACGCTAGCCATCGTTCCTGTGCAAAGCCGTGAGGTGTGTGTCAACCCCGGGCAGAGGACCGCGCCCTCGCGGCCGGCCACCTCCAGGCCCGGGCACGTGCCGTGAGCTTCCGGGCGAGCCAAGGCTCTGCTCGCTCCTGTCCAGTGTCGTGAGCTCAACCTCTGCTTTCTCGGTGTAGATCTAGGCCAGCTGCCTGCCGCTTGTTCTCGTGGAGATGTGTGTGTGTTCTTATCTGAGCAGCTCCTCCCAGGAGGCCCTGAGCCCAGTCCCCAGGAGTCGGAGACGGGAGCCGGCGGGAAGGATGGACACGGCGAGGGCGTGGTGGACGCTCACCCCCTCGGTGATCAAGACCGCGGCCTCCCCTCGGGCAGGAAGCACTGGACCTTAGATGGAGGGGGAGGGCCAGGGACTGTGCTTTGACGTTCCACCCCGTTGTTCCTTGTGACTCAGTTTCCTTGGCTGGGGGGGGGGTGTTCCCTGTTATGCTTTCCAGTGTCCTGTGACCCTTCTGTGCCAGCCATAGGGCAAGGGCCACCCCACAGCAAGTCAGCCCCTCAGGGTGCTCCCGGAATGGAAGTGAGTGTTCATTGCCAGAGGCCATTGTCCTGGCAAGAGGCACATCTGGGTCCTCAGAAAGGGAGGCTGTGGTGGGAGGGCCCCAGCGTGGAGACAGAGGAGGCTCCTCCTCTGCAGCCCCAGGAGGGGGGGCGGGCTGACCTGTGGCCTCCAGTGGTTGTGAAGAGTCCCTTTAGGTGTTGTCATCCCTTCTCTTCAATGGTTCATTGTTTCTGTTTAATAAATTTTGTGAAATGTTCCAGCTTATTCTATCATGGTGAGGGAAATTGGGAGAGGAATGTTGGTTGGAGATGGGACAGGGTAGAGTAGGGGGGGACAGTGGTGGCTGGGTTAAAATGCTGGGTGCATTCAGGCAAGGTCCATGATGAGCTGTTGTGATTTCAGCTGGCCAGTGGGCAACAGGATACTGTTAGTTGTGGGTGGGCACTGTCTTTCTGGCTCCCCAGAGCACTTGGGAATAAGCGGGTTAGGCATTGAAGGGAGGGCACAGGACCACAGGATTCCCAGCAGTGCACGGGGGTGGAGGGGTGGGAATCGGGGCATCCAGCCAGGTCAGACAGGCCACGTGTGTGCTCCCGGGCTAGCAGACAAGGTCAGGGAAGGGCCGTAGAAGGGCCCTGGCATGAGGTCAGATGTCCCCAGCAGGAGCTGTGTACAAGACAGGAGGGCAGGGGTGACATTTTCTAACCCACCCCACCTGCTTTTCCCTGCCTCAGGCAGCCAACAGATGGCCACTGCTAGTGTAGCCACTGAGGGACCTTTAGGGATAGTGGTGTTGGGAGGTTGGTCATTGGGAAGAGGGTGGACAGAGCAGGGCTTCCACATTCTCATGCCATGGGGTGGGAAGACAGAGTCACATTACACACTGAGTACGAGCTGGGAGGGGGGCCATCCCTGGGTCCTGGGAGCAGTACTAAGCAATGAATATGAGAATTTGGATGGGCCTGGGGAGGGGTCCCTTCCTTTGCAGTGTCCTTTCAGTCTATTGAGCCCTTGGTACCATTTATATACAAATGGAAGTGTCTGAGGCTTCCTCAGTCTGTGTCTGCAGGTGTCTTCCAGCCATTTTTCAGGGATAGAACCTTTGACCACCTCCACTGTACAGACGAAGGACACAGTCTTCTAGTAGTCAAGAGCCAGGGCCAGATACTGGAGTCTGCATCTGGTGACCCAGCCACGTCAGGGCTGCAGATAGCGGAGCTGCACCAATGGAAGAGCCCTCAGAGACCTGGGCACACACAGAACATGGGGGTGTCCTGGGGGTGCACATGGGATGAGTGATAGGTGGCATGTCAGTGGGTCATAATTGCAGAGTGGTTGGCACTCAGGACTTGGCCTGCATCTCAAGAGTCTCTTGGGGGTGAGTCCCATCAGGACAACCTGCGGGATTGGGATGGTGCCTCCAGTTGAACTCTGCTCTCCCTGCCTCCTTCAGGCAATGCAGTGTGTCTCAGCAGGGCCAAGGCAACTGGTCACTTTCTAGGAGTTCCTCCAAACTTGATGGGGACAGGAGAAAATGAGTAGAATAAGGGGTTGATCCCAGCCAGAACACTAGGCTTCCTTGTTCTGATCTGTCCTGAATTCAGAGTTGGCCCATGTATACTTTTGATCACTGAGCAGGTATAACTGTGTGTATGTGTGCGGGCATGTGTTAGCATGTATTTCTCAGAGTATGAATGAATGCATAAGAAATAATGTGTGTCACTAAATGGGTGTATGTCACTGATGTGTGAATGAGGACATGAGTGTCATGGAGTATGTGTTAGAGTAAGAGTTCTGATATCAAGAATCCCTGTGTGTGAGTGTGTCATTGAATGTGAACATGTGTATCATTTTGTGTGAATGTGTTTCAGTGCATGCCATTGAACATGTGTGAGAACTTGTAAGTATACTGTGATGTGAGTGCATCACTGACTGTTAGTGAATGGGTATGAGCAGGTATATTGGATGGTTGGTGGGCTTCACTTCCTTAAAGGATCAAATGAGGGAGTTGAGAGGTAAAGCTGCTTCCCCACCAACACTAAGCAGTGAGACCTTTGAGGGATTCCAGCCCACCAGCCCTACACTGAGGCCTCTGTCCCTTTCATCCTTATCTGGCCTTGGCACATTCCCATAGGCAGAGTGTGTTCAGATGCACATTGCTCACAAGGTGCTCTGGGTGGGCTGTGTATGATCTGCAGATACAGAGGTCCACCCAGGTGCTTACTTACATGTGTGGATCCACCACCTTGTAATTGTATGTTTATCATGTCACAGATGAATATGAAGGACAAAGACAATCTAGAGGCCAAGCTGGGAACTCTGGTGTATTCTCCCATCAGCCCTTTCCCCTGCAGTGGCCTTTCTATGCTTCTGATCTCCACCTGTTCTTGAATTTTGGATTGCCTGCTCTTGGAGCATGTGTAAATATTCATTCTCCACCAAAAGGAAGATGCTGTGGGGCAGTCACTTTCCCAGCATCCATAGCAGGGGTAACAGGATAAAGGTCACACCCTGGGCAGTCTGGCCTCCCATGGGTCCTGGGAATCAGCAGGTACAGGGCCATCTCATTCTCAGCCCACAGTGTTCTACCACAGAGAGGATAAATTAGAATGAGATGAGTGAGCTTGTCTTTCTTCTCTTGTCCTTGGCCCATTCATGGGACACTCCACCCAGATCCCTGGCTCCTTTACTTCAGAAGGGTTATACAAGGGCCAAAGTCCAGGTACCTGGATCATTGCTTCTCTGGGCTCGGAGGTCCCCTGGGGCTAGGGAGCCCTGAGCCATGTGTCCCCAGGTTCTCCCTGGCAAGGCTGGATCTACACCTGGGTATAAACTCTTGTCATCTGAGCTTTTTCCCACTTGAATCCTCCATCGTTTGGTATACAGCTTCTCCAAAGGGCACAATCTTTCTTCAGACCCTATTCTCTCCTCTTGGAGCCTTGAATGTGTCTGCCTCCTTGGCCTGCTCTTCCTGCACACAACAGCCCTGCAAGTGCTCTGGCTGCCAGCACCTCCAGCTCCCCTGCACCATGCCCCAGCTGCCTGCCTGACTCAAATCCATGGATCAAATTCTTACAGCAGAAAGCCACAGGTCCTTATATCCTTAGGTCCTCACTACAAGCCATGGTCTCCACAGCAAAGAGGGGAGAACAGGCTCCAGGCAGATCCCTTTCATGACCTGGTGATGGGGGTGGGTGGGTGGATTTCTCTAGCAGCAGCTAGACTGAGTGAGCCCTAGGACCATCCCATTTCTGGATCAATGGTACAGAGGGCTCAACAGGCTGCAGGAACTTGAGGCAGGAAGGAACCCCTCCTCAGTTCCATCCAAAGTCTCACAGCTATCACTGTAACTGAGTCTTCCAAAAAAGATCCACTGTTCTATCAAGTCAGCTGCTTCGGGATTGTGGGGAACATAATACCAGTGAATTCCATGAGCATGAAAACCTGTCTCACAATTTTCACTATGAAAGGGTTCCTTGACCAGAAGCAATGTTGTGTAGAATAACATGATGATGGCTAAAGCATTATTTAAGCCCACAAATGGTAGTTTTAGCAGAAACATGGCATATGGGGAGGTAAATCTCATGGTCAAGAGTTCACTTTCTGGGGTTGGGTTTGTGGCTCAGTGGTATAGCGTTCACCTAGCACATGTGAGGCACTGGGTTTGATCCTCAGCACCATGTAAAACTAAGTAAACAAAATAAAGGTATTGTGTCCATCTAGAACTAAAAATATTTAAAAAAAAAAAGAGTTCAGTTTCTACTAAGGCCCACTAGTAGGCCAAAGCTTGTCTCTGAAAAGAAGGGTAGATAATGATGATAGCAAAGCAATGCTCTAAAACCCTTAAAGGCCGGTGCCATTTCACCTATGGGGCCTGCCAAAGGCTTCAAAGTGCAGCTCTATCTGCCACCGACATTTGAAGCACCACTAGGTATGCAGGATCCTATGGACTAAGGGTAAAAGCAGCCTAAACAGCAGCTTGGATCTGTTGCAGAGTCTCCTCTTTCTTGGTTGTAGAAGGAGCCAGAAGCAACAATTCAGTCTTTGCCTTAGAAGAGCTATCTCAACATGCCACATACTATTTTGGGCCTCTGCAACTTTAACTGAGGTAGAAGGCCCCTGAATCTGTCAAGATTTATTTCCCACTCCATGATCTGCAAATTTCTTAACAGTAAGTTCAGAGTAGTTGCTACTTCACACTTGAGTCATCCAATTAGCATAATGTCATCAATGCAATGGCCAATATGATACCTCATGGAAAGGAAAGGTGATTAAGATTCCTGGAACTAAATTATGACATGGGCCTGGAGAATTCATATACCTCTAGAATATGACAGTGAGGGTATATTCCTGGCTTTGACAGATGAAAGAAAACTGCTTTGGGTGGGGCTTATTGACAGGTATAGAGAAAAAAGCATTTGCCAGATCAATAGATGCATACCAGGTACCAGGACATATGTTAATTTGCTCAAACACTGAAGCCACATCTGATACAGCAGCTGCAACTGGAGTCACCACCTAGTTAAGCTTACAATTATCCACTGTCATTCTCTTAAGATCCATCTGTCTTCGGCACATGCCAAGTTTGAGAGTTACACAGGGGTGAGGTGGGGATCCCCACCTGTGCATCTTTCAAGTCCTGATGGTGGCACAGATCTTTGCAATCCCTATAGAAATGCTGTATTACTTTTGATTTGCTATTTTTCTAGGTGTAGGTACCTCTAACATTTGGCCTTCCATTTGGCCTTTTCCACCACAATAGCTCCCACTCCACATGAGGGTATTATTGATTGGGAATTCTTCCAGCTGCTAAGCATTTCTACTCCACTTATACATTCTGGAATTGAGGAAATAACCACAAGGTAGGTTCAGGACTCCCTATGAGTCAGGTCTGAGTTAAAACTCCATTAATTCACCTGATTTCTGTAAACCCCTACTCTGACTGGTGGGCCACAGTGACATTTTGTTTCTCTTAGAATCAGCAACAATTCATAGTCACTCTGTGAAATGTCTGATTTTTCCTTTTCCCCAAAGCACAGTTTCTCTGGTAAAAGGCTGTAGGTCACTTTGCAGAAGGCCAGGAGAAAGATTAACAATAAAAATTGTTAGCAAACTGAGGGCATTCCTCAACCAGATGTGGGATGTGGGATTTTGAGTCTATAAATTGTCTCAAATCTGAGAATCGGTTGATTGCTACAACTGTTTTTGTCATTTAAGTCAGATTTTGTTTCCTTGGTCTAGAACTTTGCTGCTTATATAGATCAAGTTAAGAATTTAATAGGTTTCCTATCTATTGCATGCCCATGAAAACCATGATCAGCCCATAAAATATGTAGGTCAGAGTAAGTTAGACCATTCTGTTTGCTACTTTGCTTCTGCTGTTGCATTCAGGATTGCCAGAGCTAAATAGCTGTGATTCCCAGGGCAAGGTCGGGCCTACAGAGAAGAATGATCACAGAACTCTTCAATGATTCCAGGGCTCCCCTGGCAAATTGATTTCTAAAAGTACTGGTGTCCCACCTGGCCACTCTCTTGAGGTGGTTT